CTAATTTCATTTATTTTTATCAATCTTACTTTTCTTATTTATGCTTCTCAAATAATATCGAGTAGAATTTCATTTATTTTCATCAATCCTACCTTTCGTATTTATCTTTCGTATTTACATTTTCTCAAACAAGATCTACTATAATTTCATTTATTTCATCAATCTTACCTTTCATATTTGTATTCTCTTGAATACTCTCTGGTATAAATTCATTTATCTATTTGTATTTTCTCGAATGATATTTACTACAATTTCATTTATTTTCATCAATCTTACCTTTCGCATTTATATTTTCTCAAAGAATATCGAGCATGATTTCATTCATTTTTATCAATCATACACTTCTTATTTGTGTTCTCTCTCGAATATTATCTACTACAATTTCATTTATTTTCATCAATCTTACATTTCTTATTTATATTGTTTCGAACAATTGTCTCGAACAGTGTCTAGTATAATTTCATTCATTTTCATCAATCTTACATTTCGTATTTATATTCTCTCGAATATTATCTAGATAAAAACTCGTTCTAGTTTATTGTTGTGGGAAGTGTTCCATCTTAAATAGGAAGACTAATAATTACAACAAAAGCAACATCACAAACAACAACATCAACAAAATCATAAACAACAACATAAACAACATCATAAACAATATCAATGTATTTTGTAATATTTCATTATCTTATTGTTAAATTTGAATTTAGTTTGGATTTTTATTTAATAACAATAAAATTTCATAATGTCATTCCTGATGATGTGTTCAGTCCGAACACGAAAGCTCGAATCCCTATCTTTTATTTCTGATTGAAATAAGATTTTCTAATGATTTTCACAGCGGAACAGAACTCATTGTTTGAAGAGAATCGTACAATAAAATTACCATGATGGTGGTTTTGTCCTGACACTTAAGATAATGACATGGTTTGAAGGTATTGCATGGTACGTGAGCAAAGATATTACCTATTCGAGTTGTTTTGTCCAAGTTCATCTATTGAACTGTTTTCACTCTCTACTTCATTATCTTAGGAGCAGAGTTTTATACTCTATGAAATGTTTTGAAAAAGTTTATAATTGGATTTTTGAGGCCTAAATCCAATGTCTCTAATTGTTTCAAATTAGACTGCGAAATTTTAACGGTCTTTCCAATAACATGATGTCAGGATATTCACATCTTATGATTGAGTCAAAGTTTATGCTCTCATCTTTATACTTCACGAGAAACGATTCTTTTTTGTTTTTCTGCTTAGTATAAATATGAGTTATATGATTTCGCTCAAAAAGTAAAGCAATTAATGTTCAATATAATCAAATCTGTAGAGAATGAAAAGAATAGTTCTATGAACATGCTAAAAAATGGCAATGATCAACAGTAATATATGCTTAGGGCTTCCTTGTCATCAGAGAAAAGAGAGATGATGATTCAAAAAAAGTAATAATTTTAGGTTTATTGATAAACTAAGACAAAGTCTATTCTTTAAAAAAGATAGAAAACATAATTTCCTTGTTTAATATAAAGAATCACTTCCTTACGAAAATGAAGAAGAGATTCAATACAAAACAATGAAAAACTATTGATTTTCATATTGTAATTGTTGTGTCCATTTAGTTAATAAATATATTGCTGAATATTGATTACAATAATCATTAGAATCAATTTTTCTCCAATCAATATTTAATTTTGTTCTAACTTCATCAAAAATGAATGCATAAGCACCTGGAAATGTATTCAAATCTTCAATGATTTTTTCTTCACTATGTTGTAATTCATTGATTAAAGTTTCATCTTCAAATCCACCTTCATTTACTAATGTTCGATAAGTCGGACATTGTCTTTTTAATTGAATATCCTTTTGAATAATATCATAAATAGGCATTGATTTATCAATTAATTGTAAATAAACCCATCGATACATTAAACCAGGTGAAAGATGTTTAAAATAATATAATGGTGCATCATTAAATAAAGGTGGAATTCCATATTCATCGCAGTCTTATGATGGGATTAAAATAAATTCATGTTGATTTGTAGGAAATGTTTTAAAATTATTAATAGAACAATCGTTCTCATTTATAATACCGTTTTGTTCAATAATTTTTTGTACGTATTGTTTAAATTTATTTAATAATTGTTCAAATGTACCTTTTTTAGCTTTATAAACATAAAATGAAAATTGTAAACGTTCATTTCTAAATTGTACAAGATCACCATGTTTTAATTCATTGAGATTAGGAAATATATTATTTAAATTATTATTTAATTCTAAAGTTCTTTGCTCGTAATGATTTTTATCTTGTTCAAATTCAATATCTTTTGCTAGACGAAGCATATCGTCAAATTCCATTTTTTCCATTGTCTCAGAATCATTCAATTCTTTTGCTTTTTCATATTTTTCTGTTCGAATTTTTTCTTCTTCTTCTCATTTTGTAATATTTTCTAATGAATTATATTCACATAATTTATAATGTTCATTAATTAATGATTGATACAACGTTTCATCTAGTAAAACATATGTAGCTTCTTCACGTGATAAACCAACTAAATGTGAAATTGTTGATCGTTTTTGTTCGATGAGTTCTTTATAGCCAGATAATGCTAATAATGAATGAGACAATATGATCTTATTTGCTGGTAATTCCCAATTTGGATATTGATATAATTTTGGTAATGATGAACTATATTTATAAGATGAAGTATGCATAGTAAACCAAATTTTTTCTACAGATATGTAATAATAGTTTTAAGTTCTTTGACTTTTTTTAGTATCTCAGATTAAAATAGAAAGCTATTCTATTTTATTTTATAATTGTGGTATTACTCAACAAGTTGAAATAACAGAGAATCAAAGAAAGGTATTTTTATACGATATTCACCAGGTATTTGATATGCTCGATGACAAAAAAAAGACAAGAAAGAACAAAAATTTTACTGGATAGTGTGTATAACCATTCAAAACAGAGAATCAGAACCGCAAATGATTGCAGTAGGTTGCATATGAGGCGATTGCAAGCCGTTTGTACAATTTAGAAAAAGAACGTGACTAAGCCTATATCTTGTACCATTCTCAACTAAATTTCAATAATTTCATCAGAAAATATTCTTCACAAGTGTGGCTAGTTTGGCTGCTAAAATCAGCCATTAACCTATTATCTGTTAATAGAGAGCGTAAAAATGATGTCGTTTTTCTACTAAAATTTCATGTGGTCATGTCCAATGGCGATGAATTAAGTTGGTTTTTTTTCCTGTTAAGAATATGTTTTAAAAATTTATTCTGCTTTAGTAATATCTTCGTGAGACTCGTTACAAAATATACTATTTAAGTTAAGCAAGTACCGTTTATTTTATTGACACTCGCTTGAAGTATTAGTGGTCAAAGATTTGGTGAAAAATGTCCCGTCACGCTGTAAACTGTTTTTTTCCTAATGAAAACTTCAACGAAGCCTCACTCAATTGTAGTCAAAACGTAGCCCTGAGGAAAAGAAATAAGATGCCATTTGAACGAAATCTGTAGTACTTTTTATTGGAACAAAAATTAAAAAACACAGTCCTCAAACAGGAATCGTCCCCACTAAATGTCCCGTCACGCTTTTTGTTTTGTTTTTTATGTATCTCAAGTTCTACTGCACCAAAATCAGAATAATTTTCAGCAAAAGTAAACCGCTAAATATAGAAGAGATACTCCAAATTTGAGCTCTTAATTATTGGTCCATTTGGGAGAAAATTGCAAAATACTGGTCAAATGTCCCGTCACGCTTTTTGTCCCGTCACGTTTTTTGTCCCGTCACGTTTTTTTGACAGTAAGATTGGTGTTTTTCGACCAAAACAGGAAGATGCCTAGATGTATATTATATGAATTGAAAGCTCTTTGAAAGAGTAATCTTACTAAATGTATCAGAACCCTTTCGAGCAACAAAGACGAATGTACTTAGGTTAAAATAGGAGTACACAATTCAGCCTGAAGAATTCTGCTCTTCAAGTGAGCCCTCTTGGAAAAACTAAATTTCTAAAATTCAAAGATTTTCCATGAAAGTCATCTAGAACTGGAATTTCTTATTAGCTTTGAATAGTTTATGATTTCGCTAAGGTTCATCCTCAATCAACTTCTCTAAAAGAATCGTTCGATACTTTCTATAGTACATACATGATGACTAGATGATCCTCAAAAATGAGCTTAAAAATACCAATTTTTTGAGATTTCAGTTATGCTGCATAGTGGTAGTGGAATACCTATCAGTTTTCGTCCTTTCTCAGTTAGTACTTTCTATCCCAATAAGCGAAATCATTCCTACGAGAAATAATTTTTTTTGAAAATTTTGAAGTCAAATTGTACAAACGGCTTGCAATCGTCTCATATACGATCAATAAAATCAAGTACAGAATATAAATCTCCGACTTTCTGTATACAAATGTGTTAATGCATAGTGCATCCTCTTTATCATCAACATACGTAGAGACAGCGAGGAGGTATGACTGACCTAGGAGTCTGGTTATAAAAATAAGCGATGAATATGAGAGAAGTATGATTGACTTATTTTTTGCTAAATGAATTTCGAGTGTATTTCATATTGGTATTTAATAAGTTATTTTTTTAACAGAATTTATTTTTGGTAAATCATTTTAAGTAATATTGATGAATGATTCATCTATTTTGCCATAAGAGAACTTTTCTGCGTCGTCTTTAAATAAAGCGAATTAAAAATTGAGCTCTCTGATAGACATTGATTCAAAGGATTTTCTCATCATTGTTATTTGAATCTTTGAAAAATAATTTATTATTCTTTTCTGAAGTAAAATCGATTAAGATTATTTTCAATATGTATCTAACGGGTCCAGCAGAATAAATGGTCGATCCGTGTTTTGTTAATATTTTGTTCATTTTTAATTGTTGAGGTCTTATAATTTTTTCCAAAACATTTGCCATAGAATTTTAAATAAAGTAATATAACTTGATTAACTAATACATTTTTCTTTCGTTTTAAAACATAACTACTTTGAACAACTTTCTACATCTAGAGATTTCTTAAGCATTTTTATTCTCTAATTATTCCAACTTGCTTTATGGCATCTTTATAGATCATTCTGGTGACTAATCCATTCTAAATAATAATGAGCCATATTCACAATTCGCTTTTTGGTCACATTTTCAGCTATATCGTGGTCAACAAGCGAATTTTGAATATTGTTCACTCATTCTGAGTTCTCGAGTAACGTCTTCATAATATGAAACTAAATAGTACGACACTTGAGAAAACCATTCACTCTTATCTAAAGTAAACCCCCTCCTCCTCATAATAAAAGACTCCTTGGACGGTTTGATGTAAAATCCACAATAGAAGTTCCGAGTTTTATATTCGGAAAAATATTTTGATTTTTGATTCTGAAATCTCTTTTGGCTGAAGTTCAATGTGCTTTAAGTTCAAATCTGATGTGACCTTGAGTTTAGTGACATTTTCAGCTTTTTGTTTATTGAGAAAGAAGCATAGAAAACTGAGATTGTTCTATCAAGTATCTCAAAAGATGTAGATGAAGAATGCTAATAATATGATCAGAAAGACATCTGGATTTAGTTCTCTTCTTAGAAAGTTTTTTGCAGAAAAGTATTCATCAAGTACTCGGTATCATAAAAGGCAAAATTTCCAAAACAATACTGAATCCTAAATTTCTGTAGTAAATTTCCATTTCGAATCGTTAATGTTTAAAATATGGCTAAAAAACTTCTCTGTTCATGAGAGCATAGAAAAAGATAGTTTTGTAATAAACTCGTAGTACAATATCAGAGACAAACCCTAGTATTGCATCAGATTATTTAGTAGTTAAGGTATAAGATTACATTTCTCAGAAAGTACAGAATACAAGAGAACATAATAATAATAATAATTTGTTAAAAGTCACATTGATTGAAAAAAAGAACTTAAAAACTCACAAGATATATAATTCCAGATTTTTGATGAATTAAAATCAACAAGACTAATGTTTAGACTCCAGGGAAAATTTGTTTAGAATAGTTTACATTTGAGAATCTTAACTTAATGATAGTCATCTTATAGTTTGTGTATTACTTTTTTTTCGTTATGATCATTTTAAGTAAAGACAAAATAAAGAACTAAGGTAAAAAGTGATCTTTTTATCTTAGCTATAACTAAACATGTACTAAATTCTGTAGTTTATGTTAAAATCATATATTTCCGATACCAAATAACTCTTAAATTAAATGAACTTTTAGTGATGAGCTCTATCAGATATGCCTATTCTATCTCAAATTCGTCATATTTTATCCAATCTAGAAAAAATATTCTCAGATTCAATCAAAATTGTCTGTTTTCCAAATTTCGTACACATCCTGCTAGAGCCTAAATTGTTTTCTAAATTAGATAAAACGGTACATTAGCTTCCCCACAAGTGCACAGATCTAGTAATATCCAAGAAGAAAAGGGAATCGAAAACTGTATATGTTGTCTTTGAAATGCAATAACAGTATTTTCTGTGCATCTAATTGCAACTACTTGACAAGCAATCATGTGTTAAATAGGAACACCGACAATGGGAGTATATGAATTCTAGCTTTTTATCAGGAAAAATTTTCCGTAGGGAAGTAGGAAGAAGAAAATGATGATTTTTGATTGGTTACATCTCGCTCCTCAAAAAGTTTCTATGGATTTGTCGGTAATACGTAGTAAAAAGTGACACTTATTTTTTTTGAAAAAACTCTACTGGTTTTGGTAAAAACTTATCTTGAAACCCTATTAGAAGGCTCTCATCAAAACTTTGTACGTCTAAACATAATAGAGGAAGAGGAGAGTTTAGTATTATCTGTTCCATTAATAGTCCGATTCACAATTTAAATAATTGAACAGTTAAATAATATTAAATTTTTTCAAATATTACTAATGGTAATGGTATACATATTCATATAAAAACTTAATCAATAATGTTAAGTTTAGAACAACATTTTACAATTCTGATTTTCTTGTTTTCTTCTACATTCCATCGATAAATACTGATTAAAAAAAAACATCTATGCAATACTATGATTCAAGGTTTGGTGCTCGAACTTAAAACAGTCATAAAATAAATTGTAAAATAATCAAAATTCTACCACCTTATGAAATACTCCAAAGTCTTATTGAGTTTATGTAGTATAGTATTCTCAGCAAAAAGATGTAAAACGAATTAACTACTTTTTCTTAAGAAGAAATTTCGAAAAAGCTGCTTTTATTTAGACTCGATGAAATGTTCATCTATGAAAACATTCTCCCTTTTCAGTAGCCATTTGCTAGATAACACTTATGTTATGGATATCGATAGATATTTATTATTGAACATAAGCAGTAGTTTGACTAATACATATGATATTGTTCATTATGATTCTTTATCAAATGTGTTTTTTAACAAATTTCACGATTGACATTTCAATATCGTTGATTATTCATTCATTATGTAGCGGTTTTTTTTTTAGTTTTCAAGCACTAACTAATTTTTCTAAAGGAGAAAATGAACAAACAGATTTGAATAACTTGATTAATTGCAATTCATTTTGACGTCGCGTAGAAAACTTATTCAAATGTGAATGCATGATAAATTATTCTTATATTCAAACACCTACACGGTTGGAAATAATATTATTCCAGGGAAGTATCGCTATAATTTCAAATAGAGTAAATAATGAATTTTATATCAAGTGAAAGCCCGTCAAAAATGGGATTTATTTATATGAATAAATTAGGACTGTAAATACTTTTCGCGGTCGAACTTTGACAATTTCTAGAAATCCATGTACCACAGTCACATTAAAGTTTTTTGCTACGCGAGAGAAATCAAATTAGCTATGGGATAAAACTACTTAATATAGCAAAGGTATCCCTACTTTCTATAGCCTAGTGAATGATAAAAAATAAACCTAGCTTTGCTATGTTAAGTAGTTTTATTCCATAGCTAATTTGATTTCTCTCGCGTAACAAAAAATTTTGCTGCGACTGTGGTACATGGATTTCTAGAAATTGTCAAAGTTCGACCACGAAAAATCTTTACAGTCCTTATTTATTCATATGAATAAATCCTATTTTTGACGGGCTTTCATTTGATATAAAATTCATTATTTACTCTATATGAAACTATAGCGATACTCCCCTGGAATAATATTATTTCTAACCGTGTACATTTAATATAGGTTATAAAGTTTGTATCAAAAAAGCAATCAAAATATTTTATATAGTTGAATAGTATATTCAGTACTAAACTTAATTTCCATACCTTTATTACACAATGAATAGCACAAAAATGATCTGTTCAAAGTACTATTCCTAGAAATATAGATAATTTTATGAGAGTATTGCTACTGCATGCCAATATATATCTTTCTACACTTCGTCGTTGACCTTCATCTTGGTATTCAAATATGAAACATCAAAATTCAGATTAGCATATGGAAGAAACATCAACTCTTCGTTGGCAGGCTATAAACACACTGAATGATATTTTACTTGAATAACAAATGTTCTTTAGAAAGATTGTGTAAATATTATTTTTAATGGCACAATGTAATCATTAAGGTTTTATTCGCATTATGGCACCCTAGTGACCAGAAATTATACTATACAAACTCTGATTGAAAAATACAATAAAATACTGATTATGTTTCATCTTTTCATCCATATTTTGACCTTGAATGCCACATTAGGATATTGTTCGTTTTTCATGACATATCTACTTACACTAAACCCCTACCTATTGATTTCCGGAGTTTGTGATGAAGCTTATTATACTACAGAATGAATAATTAGTTTACACATCGCAAAAGTGTCTGTTCGTATAATTAGCAGTATTATTGTTAAATCTAATCAAAAAAGAACATGCCATCGTTTACTTTTTTTTTAATCGGAAATTTATTATTTTTTTGCTTTCAATTAGTATTTTTATATGTAATCTCAGGAATAGAAAATCATAGAGGCGAAATAAATTTTCTAATCAAGCAATGCCACACTATTTATATAAAGCAAATTTACAGAACTCGATAGATTGGCATATTGTAGTTTACATCTTATTGTCACATCTGCACATAATAATATTTTCTTTGCGAAAAGATTGTTAAAGAATTATTTCTGTCTACGATGGCAAATAATAGCAGCATATCCACAACAGTATTGAATACTCTATCCCATGAACTGTTTATTGTGGCTCATTTTTCTCTCATAGTGACAGTTGTTGGCACTGTCTTCAACCTTCTAACATTTTTTATTCTCTGTCGATCAACATTCAGAAATACAAAAACAAGACCTGTACTTCATTATATGCGAGCAATGACTATTTTTGATATCCTTATGTTATATGGATGGAATATTGATCATTATGTATCTTCCATACATGGATTTACTTTTTCAAAACGAGCAATACCTCTTTGTAAATTTTTCTCGTTTCTTAACTATTTTGCTCCTCAATCATCAGCTTGGCTTCGTGTTTTCATATCTTTGGATCGATATTTATCATTAAGTCGTCTTCATCGAACATGGTTTGGTAAATCGAAGAATATTCTCATTATAATTGCATGCATTATGATCATTCTTCTTCTGCTCAACTTTCATATTTTTATTGTTGTTTGCTATTATAAACCGAACGGTACAATTAGTATTGGATCTTGGGCATATGTTTTCTATCCAACATGGGATTACGTCAATTTAGCAGTATATAATTGTGCACCATTTATATTAATGGTTACATTTAACACTGGTGTGATTTATCATTTAATTCGTCTTCGTAAAACAAGTACTATTCAAAATTCACGCATTCAACATCGATCTATTTCAATTACATTAGTCATTACAACATCTCTCTTCTTAATTATGACTATACCAGCTACTGTAGGTTATGCATTCTTTTCTACAGCAAGTTCTACTATTTTGCATTTATTAGATGCATTTCTTTATATTTATCATGTATTATCATTTCCATTGTATATGATTACATTTGATGAATTTCGACGAGATTTTTTCGCCATGATTACATGTAAAACAAATAATCAACGAGGTGCAACTCAAATACAAACTGTTACTGTACCGAATACATTAAATACAAAACCATAATAATCAACACTCAAAAATAAATACTTCAGACTCAGTATCTTTTATTATCAAAATCAATTATATTTCTACGTAGTTTGTTTGTTATAACCGTTGTTGCTTGGTGTTTCTATATTGTACGCTACTATAAAAATCTATCTTACTTTTCGTACTTAAATTTTTCTGTTCTCATCAAGATTTATATATGAGCTTTATATGTAAAGTATTTAGGATTTAATGAAATAAAAAAAACTAAATTTAGATTAGTTTTGTATCACATAAAAAAGAACGAAGTTTAAAATGACAATACTCGTACGGAATGTGTTTGTATACAGATTCATTCGAAGTGTTGGTATTATTTCTATTAAGATGTTTACGATTTTGATAGCTTTTGGTAAATATAATCATTTATATAATATCTTTCGTCTTAGCTGAATAAGAAATGAATTGAATGAGAAACTGCATCTTACTTATCATTGCAGTTGTTTCTATGGAAACCGATGAAAGATGATAGATACGATATGTCTGTCAGCAATCTTAGTGTCATCAAAATAAAAATAAAATGATTTTGCAGAAAATTCTATGTAATATGTTTTTTTTCTGAAATATTTAAAAAACTACAAACTTGCATTTTTTTTAGTTTAAATTGTAGGAAGTTCTCCAATATCACTTGCTTCAAGTTTATTTCATGCTTTTTTTCAACAGCAAAATTTTGAAACATACCTGTTCAACTTTTGATTCTTTCTTTATGATAAAAGAATATTGATTCATTTGTATAATTTTATTCACTAAAAAAGGCTTGATTAATATAATAAGATGGCTCATTGATAGCACACTACTTCTATTAATAATCTGTAAACATTCCATAAAGAGAGTTCAAATAGAAATTCTTGTTCAAAATTCAAAATTGAATTTGACTTTTCTTCCTCTCTTTTTAGCGAGTTTCAAATTAGAAATAAGAAAAAAACAAAGGTAAATACTTTTTAATCATTTTCAACCAGTTTCAATTTGATTATCTTCACTTTCATTCGAAAATTAATGAGAATTTTTTATGAATTTTTCTCACAAATACAAAAAACTACAGAAAATACTCAAATTGTCCTATTCTTGATGTTTTTTATTTCTTTGTTGAATAGATCGAAATAAACAATTCAACTATAATCAGAGATTTTCGACTATTTATTAATTCCTATCTTATATAAAGGAAAAATGAATTGTATGACAAAGAGATGATAAAGTTCAAATAACAAACTGTTCTTTCTATTCGTCATTATTACTTGGTTAATGATCGATTATTTATACAAGAGAATAGACAAATATAATTGAAATCGAGAAAGAAAAAAGAAAAGAATCGAAATGATTTTATGTAATATCGAATGAGCAAAAGAACAAAATAATTAACAAAAAATGTTACTAAAAAATAAATCTCCGATATAAACTCAATTATCATAAAGAAATAATCGTTTGTAAACAACAATAAGACAGTCTAGCGGAGATAACTATTTACTTGTTGGAATAAAAAGATGTTGAAAACAAAGAATCAATTGAATAACGTTGAGTAATAAAGAATTGAAAAGACTATGTGAAACAGTTTTTATACAAATATTCTCATACAGAGGTAATAAACAATTTTTATTAGATTTAACAGACAAAAATAAAAAAAACGACAGATAATCATTTCTTATTTAATGAAAACTCATAAAATATTCAATCATAATGTATTTTTTTGTAAATCAAGTCCTTTAGTTCTTTTGTGTAAGATACATGAAATGAAAAATATTCATACGATTGTTACATACATTCGCACACCCACATCCTTACTTGAAGATTCGAATTTCGAATTTCAATTCAAAACTTTGCGTTGATACAGTTTTCTGGGAGATAAAGTCTTAGCGTCAATATTTCACAGATCAAAGTTCATAATTGTCTTCATATTACGATTTGTGTTCTATGTTTCTAGAGATTTGAGAAACATGGTATTGTACTCTTCGTAACGCTGATCAATTAATTCGTGCGTTAATCCGAATTCTTCAAGTGTATATGTATTACGTCCTTGCTTGCCTTGAGGATTTTCACGAAGCCATGTGACCATTGCTTGTCTGAAGTCCTCTGACCATACGAGTCCAAAATGTTCGTAGATACGACGAACAATATCGATTGGTTGTGCTATTAGATCGTCATAGAGCACGTCGAAAACAGGAATATCTAGATTAGTACGACGAAATTTAATGAGACGATGAATCATCATATCCATTATTTGAAAACAGCGCTCCACAGTTGCACTTCCTTTTGTCTCCTCACTGGTATTATTGCCATAGAAATAGGCTCTCCTAAACGCGATACACATGCGAGCAACTGATGGTAGTACATCGTCCAATCGGCGATGAGTCATAATAAGTGAAGCCGACGGATAATGACGTAGTAGAGTATCAAGAAAAAGCGCATGGACCGGTGTTTTCAGTAGCCAATGAGATCGAGGCGCATCAACACTGTTCAACATTTGTAAAAATATCTTGTGGTATTCATAAGCGAACTCCTTGTTTGTATCATTTAAAAACCACATGACGAGCTCAGTATTGTTATAAGGTGCTAGCATCACATCAAGGATATTTACACCAGCTTGCTCCAGAATCATTAAGTCTTCCTCGTACGTATAGATGGGATGAGATGCGTACAACTCTCTTGTGTAATCAGGCAAGTCTAATGTGTTGAACATGTCGCTGATCGTGTTTGCAATGGTATTCTGCCGTGTTTCTTGGGTGGAATCCGAGCGAGCAAGTGGTGGGACTGGCTGCACCATGTCGGTGAATAATGGTGCCCGACATGCTGGATCGCACGCAAGCAAATTATACAAGAGTGTTGTGCCAGTACGACCGAGTCCACAAAGGACCAGTGAAGGTGGCATCGAATTGGCTGTCGTTTTCACTTCTGGATGAGTGGCTACATAGTTGAGTACACGCTTGCAGTTTGCATAATTTTGCTCCAGTTTCATACAGAATAGCTGACGACCGACAGGCAACAGATGATCATTAGCGAGTATGGTACGAGCATTCAATTGAAATGCTCGTAAAATCTCAATGTGATAACCGAATTGTATTTTGGCTTCTTCACTAAGATCATCTTCGGACAGGATGGCATCGATGGGAAGAACTGGAGAAGTCACAGTATGGTTTGCCTGTTCAGTGGATCTGTCGTGATTATTCGTGTCTTCCATACTTCAGTGATATGTTGATGTGAAGTATTGTCTTTTATTTTCTTCTTTTTCACGCCTGAAAATATTTAACTCCCTTAACTCAGAATTATATTCAGCAACAAGTTGATTTTATTTATGACAGTAGCGGCTAGATAGATTTTTTAATTTCAGTTGCTGCTTCATATGATTCTGAACAAATGAACACTCTTAGAAAAAGAAGAATGAATGTGAGACTACACATACTCGGATTCATCACAAATCATGACTCATGCGGAGTCGATTTTCATAGTTACATACACATAAGTTTTCCGAACAAGAGGTTTGAGCGATGAAAAATAAAAAAACTTGAACGACGAGGGATGCTAACAAATTTTGGTCTGCTGCAATAGTTTTTCTTTCAAGAAAACTAGAGCCAAATTAGTCACCGACATCTTCTTCTGTATTACCATGGATCTTTATACAAAAATAAAGTAGTACATTTTAATCCTCAGAGGGATTGTGCTGAAGACGTTTTCAAGTCTTCTAAAAATATAAAAGAATGTGAAATTGGATGCTAATGAGAGTATTTATCTGAATTACATTCGAATCATGACAGATTCTCTTGATTTATATTACATTAAGAAAGAAGAATCATTTCGATGAGATAAATACCAATTAGAAAACATTTCTCTAAAGAATAAGAGAGTAGATTAAAAATTGAAATACAAGAAGTGCGAATTATTTGAAATCATAGAAACAAAATAAAAGGCGAAAAAGTCTTTAATGATTAACAAATTAGAAAGAAATATGCGCCAATATTTTATGAAATAGTGCGACCATATTAGATAAAATAAATTGAATAATCAATTGTTGAATTGGCTCGTATACATACTATTCCAAACGTCTGTGAGAAAAAATAAACATAATGATATCTCTTGAAAGTGGAAGAAAGAATTGCGATAAAACTTTTTCCTAGAAAAAATTCAATGATCTTTTTAATGTCTTGTAAATATCTATGAAAAAGCATGACCATAATTCTGAAATGCTGATCTAACAGACCTTTCGACAATGTCTGTTTGTTTTTTTTAAAGTTTCAACGCGTTGAATGATATCTTGTCTGGTTTTAAACTCTCAAAATATTCTAAGGACTACTATCTGGCGCATCCATAGTCGAGACTTAGTTAATTCACTGAATTTTTCTGTATTAAATTCTGTCAAGAGTTAAAAGCAAAAAATATATATGTCAATATTTCAAAGCAGACTTGTAGCCAGTAAGGATAACGGCTGGCCCAGTTCAGAGTGGAAGATTCCTTACCAACCGATCTAGATTTGTTTGAACTTCAGCTTATTTCTATGAGAGAAAATGTACCATAATACACTTAATATACTTTATGAACTCACTTCAATATCAATTTTTCCTATCGAAACAAAATCGAATCATTTTTTATTATAGTTTCCCATAGATTTACCTATATTTTCTATTATTTATAGCGTGCATTTTTCATGGATATAAGAAATAATCAAGTAAATATGATGCGAGAAACAGAGTAAATAAAAATAAGATCTTCATAATGTGTATGTCGGATGATCAGTTAATCATTATACTGAGCAAATACAGAATATGTAGTCCTACGAAAGCATCCATAAAGACTGCCAAGTCAAAACTCACTTTTTTTCACTCATCTTTCTCCAATTTATTAAACTTGTCGAATTTTGACTGAGATGTCTTTTGTGGAGGACTCTTATGAACTTTTCTGTTCATCAATAAATATCAAGAAAGAGAGAAAGCTTACAGTAGTAAATAGTGAACACAGTCCTAGCCGTGCAACATGAATCTTACATCATTACTCTAATGATTCAGAGGTAGATATGACTAATCAAGAGCTTGATTTGACGATTGGTTCGGTTTGACCAGTTTAGATCAGTACCAGTAAACAAAAATTCCTAACGAATGCAATTCTAGATCATAAGCTGTTCAAGCGATTTACATAATATTTTGTGTCGCGTAAAGTTTTCTTTAATTTATCTTTGAAAGAAAACTTCACAGAACATACAGTACAACTATTAAAAGCATCATATGACTAGCTTAAGAGTTATTCATATTTATTTTTGTCGAGATTTTTTAAAAGTTCTGTATATATTTCTTGTTCTTACCGAAATACTTTTGTCTTCGTTGCCAACTCCTTTTCACTTAATGAGTTTTTGTTATTTCAATAGTAATAAAGAGATATGATCGCAAATATTAGACATTCTGAAAATCTTGTTGTTGTATGAACTATCATTTAAATGTTCTTATGAGTGTCAAGATTTTCGCAAATAAACGCCTTGAAACTTTGCCAACGTAAGAGTCAAGTAAATTTGAATGAAAAAGTTCCTATCGATTACATTATTAAGCTTAAGCTAGAAAATTTATATGCTAATAAAGTTAGTTCCAGTCCTCACACGTGTTCTATATTATAATTGTTTCATGATTGATGAAAGTCCTATTGACGAAGTTCTGAAATCTGATCTTTATATCAGTTCTATTTTTTTTTCTTACTTTGAAACTATGAAGTTATTATTTATTGTTAGAAAATGAAATGAATGTTTTATTATATGAAGACGGTCGCATGTCATCTTTATCTCATGATTATCAAGTAAACATTTACTCTTGATTTACACTGATAAGCAAAAAAAGAAAGGTATTTTTATGTGATTTCTTTACTGTTGATATAGCCTGTTCTACTTGCATTATAGACCAATGAAAATTCAACATAAATCATTTTTCAAACGCCAGATGTAACTGCAGATGTGGACATAAATAAGTAACAGATCCACACCCACACCCACCACACCCTGAGTTTATTTTCGAAATAGAACATAAAATTATGATTCTAGCTCATCGTGTTTCATCCGTCTAGAATACTTCCAAATGTGTCAAAAATGAATAAAGATTTTGTTTAGAAACTTTTACACCACTTTAAAAAAAAAAACTTTATAATCTAGTTCAAACTAGATATGGTTTTGAAAATAATTTACTTAGGGCAATCCAAAAGTAGTGGCGCCATTACCAAATTTTCTTATAGAAAGGTTAAAGAAATTTTCTATTTTTATGAACAGATAGAGCGTCTTTCGCCCTATTTTTCTATGCTATTTGATCACTATTCAACTGATGTCATAATAATAAAATTTCGATAAGAAGTATTTTTATTGCATACTACCTAGTGGCATTAGATTATAATGGGTGAGACATTTTTGCATTTCATTTTATTCTCACTTAGTAAGTTGTATTAAAAAAACAAAATATACCACAAGATACAGTGTGAAAAGCTCTACAATTTATAAACGATCATTTATTTTATAATTGCATTTTTTATTTTCAAAATGGACAATTCTCTGAGCGACCAAATTTCTACGTTGCGAAAACGAGATTGTTTTTTGATAAAAGACGAATTCGTTTTTTCTTATCTCATCTTTTTATTATTTGATATACTTTGTTAGAAAAAAACAAAATATACTACAAGACGCAGCGTGAAAGCTCTACAATTTATACAGAACAATTATAAAAAGATGCGATAGAACAAAAAAGAATTCGTCTTTTAACAAAAAACAATCTCGTTTTCGCAGCATAGAAACTTGGTCGCTCAGAGATTTGTCCGTTTTGAAAATAAAAAGTGCAATTATAAAATAAATGGTCATTTATAAATTGTAGAGCTTTTCACGCTGCATCTTGTGGTATATTTTGTTTTTTAATACAACTTACTAAGTGAGAATAAAATGAAATGCAAAAGTGCCCCATTTTTTTTATTCCACACCCATTATGATCTAATACCACCAGGTAGTATGCAATAAAAATACTTCTTATCGAAATTTTATTATTATGACATCAGTTGAATAGTGATCAAATAGCATAGAAAAATAGGGCGAAAGACGCTCTATCTGTTCATAAAAAAAGAAAATTTCTTTAACCTTTCTATAAGAAAATTTGGTAATGGCGCCACTACTTTTGGATTGCCCTAAGTATTTATTATTCTATTGTTATTGATAAAACAAAAGAAAAGATTTTTTTGTCTTTTTTTTTTGGTTGTATCGTTCTTTTCGCTAGCAATCAAGCATTTACTAATGAGAAAAAGTTCTAAATTAAACAATGTCGATTGAGCTGATTTATTTTATAGTTGTTTTAATGAGTTTTTCAGCATTTGTGTCCGATATTGACGAAGATATCTGAAATTTTGTTCATATGTACATTTGATGGCTATTACAAGATTCTAAAAGTTTCCGCCAAAATGAATAGTTCTTTCTCTATATGTTGAATTTCAAGATAAATTTTACCTTTCTACTCTTCTTATGAAATATGAGCGTTGTATGATAATGCAGTATCCCAAGAAGATAGGATTTATTTTTTTCACGCTTCTAGCGACTGCTACATATAGAGACAAAATATAATATCTCCGCCGATATCTTACTCAGATGCTGACTATCTCATTGAAACAATTATAACTTTGGAAACGAAGCTCAATATGAGAAATTTAGATGCATACCTCTAAAAACCTTTAATAGACATTTTGATGATTTATAGATGTAATTTTTTAAATCCTCGGAAGTGAATGAAAACCTCTGAAATTATTTTTTTATGCTTCTAAATTCGGTCAATGCTACAACGAAAAAGATTGTTTTGCATACAAAGTTAAAATGCCACTCGAAGGATTGTTCTTTTAAAATCAATCAGTTGAATTTCTATGAACAATTGAAGACTTCTTCTCCTGTATTTCTTTTTTTTTCTCATATACTATTTGTATAATTCTAACTAGACATGAACGAAACGAAAACTTTTTGGTCTTCCCGTAATCGGAACCATCTTACTCATATCTAGTTCTTATATATTCGCTCAGAGCGTTCGTGAACTTATTTGTGTCATTAACCAAAATCCAATGTGTGACTACAAAGCAAAGACGGGAAAGTATGAAATTTTGCTTGCAGTCATATATATGATTCAGGATTATAATAGAAGATTTATATTCATATTAAACCTTTTACACTAGTAAAGTGAAAAGAAACTTTTGATATTTGATCGATCAGAAAATGAAAAAAGTCTCAAACAATTGGAATCCACATAAAAATTCCTACGAGTCTCTAAAATAATCGATAGATGATAAGTGTATTGGTAACGCAGTTTCTTGATCCGTAACAATTCACATATTGACTAACACAATCTATAGACATATTCATTAATCAAAATAATGCGACATCTTTCGAACGAATATTTACTATTCAGTTACTTCCTAATCATGTCACAAACAACATTTTTCAAGGTAACATAATGTGAAAAAAACCTACGTCCTTAAAAAAACCGTTAATATGAAAACAAAATGTTGCGCAGGATACACGTGGAATAACGTTATTTTACAATCGTAAGAAGGAAGACATATAAAAACACGGTATATTTTTTTTTGGTCAATTTTATTTTTACCAATATCAGCTCAAGAGTAAGTCTGAGTGACTCGTTAATGTTTAGATTATCCATTTTAATGTTTGTTTCTGTTTAATCAAATTCGTCGAAATTAATATTTAAGCACTTGTCTATTAAAAAATTGTTGCGATACATATTTTAAATATATATGTGTAATGTACAGTTTTATACTACCAAAATAAATCAATCACCAGATTCCTATAAACTTCATTCTATCATTATCATCAAAGTTAATTTTTAAAGTTTTTCATTATTATAGAATTCTCTTTTGAAAAAGTAATTATGTATTCTGATAAAACTTCAAAATTTCAATTATATTGTACATTTTCCAGTTAGTTCTCGTTTACTTGTTGAAGAATAATTCGAGTATTATCTTGATATTGTCTTTGTTAAACTCCAACAAGCAGCAGTTTTTAAAACTATTTATATAGGTTTTTTGTCCCAAAAGTAAGGTACTACCTTTTTTTAGGGTAACCGGACTTTTCGTTGAATGAACAGAACATTGCAAAGACCATTTGTCGGAGGATGTAGCTGTACGATGATTTGTCTTAGCCCCTTTTTAATGAGGGTGTGGATGTGATTGTGGGATTATGCGCGTTGAATGTACGGAATAGATATTTTCACATTCACATTCACACTTACACCCACGTGTGTGGTAGCTTTATCGACAGAAAGAACATATACAATATAAAAAGGAGGCAATAATGTTCTTCAGCTCTCACTGTTTTTTTTGTTCCTTTTTCTATTATCAAGGCAAGTTTTTATGACAGTGAGTTATAAATCGTTTGCTTGTTGGAGAATTTACCCTCATGTTTTGGTTTTTATCGTGATCTATAGATGAAAATGTTTTTTTTTTCGCGTGAATTGAAGAAAAGGTATAGTTTACTTCTCAAAAGACGATGAAGAATCATAAGTATTCGAGATCTTGACATGCAGAATAACCTTGAATTTTTCAGATTGATTCTGATCGTCTTGGTGATAAGAAGTGGTATCATTTTTCTGTTAATTTACTCGTAACTTAGTTTAAAAGTAAATATAAATTGACCTCCCCTCTAGTGATAAATCATCATTTTATTATAGATCATTCTTGTCCACAGTTGTATCGGTTATGATCTTATCTATAAAAATGTTGAAAAAAAAGGACATTTCTAAGCGTTTGAAAGTGTTTTGATCACGTTGAACGTGCGAATATGTTTTTACTTCTCACCGTCTGTGTTACTTGTAACTGAACATAAATTGGCAATATTTGAATGTGAAGATTCCTCATAAGATAGAATCGCAAAAAAAAACCGGTGTTTTTGTATTTCAACGACACTGCGCATATCGTTATATGTAAGTCAAACGTATGTTTTTGATAGAATGTTAATCACGAACGAGATACATGCGCATTATCTTGCCTGATGATGATTCTAAGCAAAATTGAAACGATCATTCGTAAGTAGCATGAAATTTCGTCTTACATTCACTTTGATCTTCGTTACTCCATTATGTAACAGTTTTTATTGTATATTACTTGAAAAAAAACTTCCAAACTGAAGTTATTTTATGAACTCTTTCATTCTGTTTCCCTTCATCATCTTCAATAGTAGGCCGAAATGGATTTCCCTAAAAATGATAATGTACATGAAGAAAATCTGTTACTATGGAAAGAAGTAAGAGTAAAAATTTATAGATCATAATTGTAATGATTGTTGTATTTCGTTTACATGGAGAAATTTCTTTCACGATCATATTCATCGGTACGACAGAGTAATTTTTTTCTTTTTTCTTCACTCTATCAGCGCAATAGAATTCTCTCTCCGCATCACAACAATGTTAGGTTTTTTTTGCTCTCTATCACTAAGATGAGAACTTGGTACTTCGCGAACATCAACATATAGCAGAAAAATATTGTTGTTTGAAGAGAAACCTGATCGTGAGTTTGAGCATTGATGTAGAGATACAGAACAGAACAGACGAATCCCTGAATTAGGTTGTATATCATAGATGGAACGGATAATGATGACTGTTTGGATCTATGTAGAATTTCTTAGCAGTCTGTCTATATGTTTTTTTGAATTTTTAAATATTTTTTTGGAAAAATCAATCATAAAGTCGTTTTTTTTCTTTTGAAAATGAATATTCAACAATTGATGTTTATGTCTGTTTCTCTCACAAAACATGTACCTAAGTATTCTATGAATTGAATTGACTGAAGCATACTTGAAATGTCAATTAACTTGAATGAACTTCCAGATTTATTAACAAAATGAATTAATGTACAGAAGTAAGCGATGAGAAATAAAAAACTAATAACCGTGGTCGTACGTAATGACAGAATCCAGCGAACAACGCTTGAACGCAACTAATATATGACGAACATTTTTTTTCTTGAAAAAATTCACAATCGTTTGATTTCCATTACTTTAGGAACCATTACTCTTAAACATATATCATATTCGAAGAGAATCCTAAAGAAGAAAACATAAGTTTTTTTGCAAACTAGAATAATTAAACTTGATATTTTTCAGAAAATGAGCAGTGAATTAGAGGTTACTCAGTTCACTGAATTTCGGATTGATGGTGAAGAAAAAATAATCGGATCTACAATGCCACTCTATGCAGCAATAGCTGCTTCACCAGAATATGTAATCTACTACGAAAACAAAATTCTCTCTATATACGATCAAAGTCAATCCTGTAAGAAAACCATTTCGTGGTCAGAAAAAGCCGGTCATATTATTGATATTTGCTGGTATAACAATAAACAATTTATTATCTTGACAAAACGAGAATTTCATTTATTTGATGTGGATACAGAACAAATTCGTATGATACATAGTTTACCTAAGAATGACAATGACGATTCTACTTATTATCGATGTACATCACATGATGAATGTATAATGTTATGTTTTTCTTGTCCAGGAACGACAATCGAAGAATGGACATTGACAAAATGTAAAAAACGATGGCGATCACCAAAATCATGTAGACAAGATGAACACATTTGTTGTTTGCGTTTATTATCAAATATCTTAGGCTTGACTATTGCTAAGTCAACACAAGAACCAAGATTTGAATTACGTCAAAGTGAAACGATGTCTGTCTTATTTTCGATGCAATTGACTTGTCAATGTTATCGATTTATTTCAATGAATGATCATAATTGGCTTTTAGTTCCATATTATTATGGAAGACAAGTACTTCTTCTGATCAATACTAGCGAAAAAATTCTTAAAATTATCGATATTCCATTATTGATACATACTTATGATTATAATGGTAATGTTAATCAAATGATTTGGAATGTTGCTTTGATGTCAGGGAACAATTCATATCTTATTGTTCGACGTGACAGATCGATTTGTTTCCACAATATTAAATGAAATAAAAACTTTTATTTATTATTTAACAAAATTTTTCTCATATCTAATATCACTTGTTTGTATGTTTGTTACAATCGTAACAATTTATTAATATGAAATGATATGAATATCCTATGAATAATCAAGATAATGAACTTCTATTACTGCACAGAATAAATTTCATTTCATATGATTTATCGAAAGTGAACAAAATGATATTATCATTAATAAAAATATTCATCGATTTTATGTAGAGTTGTAAATCTTGAGTAGACAAATCTAGTCCACTTCTTATAATTGAAATTCTATACGTTTTTCAAAGAGCATTTTAGTTGCTTCTTTGAATTTCACTGATTGCTCATCAAATCTATGAACTAGATTTGTTAACTAGTATATAGAAAGATGCAGAATATCAGCCTCTTTCTAATAGTGAAAAGCACAGATCGATAGCTCTTTCTGTTGAAAAGTTATTGATTACTAGAAAAAAAAAGTGTGATCTGCAATGCATAACGCTTCTCTCTATATTGTTCATATTCAATGCACTCAATGTGAAATTCGCAGTCGTTCCAACATTGCAAACAATATATCTTAAAATTTGTTCATTCACAGTATGAGTTCAGAAGACAAGATTCATTACTAATTTTTTTTTTCCATTGAACAAGATGAACTGTTTATACAACGAATTTATAAACAGATTATCATCTTGCGACGAATTATCCTAGTACCTAAAATATGCATCCTTAATAACTGATAACCACCACAACAACAATCTATCCTTGCTTCTCGATTATCTAAATATTTTTCAGTTTGTTCTCTGTCAACATTCATTCTTCATCAACATCATCGGTTGATCTTCAATGTATTATCACTGATGTCAATATAATTAACTGCAAGGTGACTTAATTCTGAAATAATGAATCTTATTTAGAAATATAGAGATTGATTGGAAGACAAAGTACAGTTATTCTTATATAAAAGCAATGTTTATGAGTATGCAAAAGGACACACATATCTCTGACGCAACTCTTTTTTGACTGTTACTTGAAAATGAGGCCGTCGTTGAAGCCAATATTCAGCATGGTCAAACGGTGCTTGAAAATTAATATTCATATCATCAGGATCTGATAACATTATTGTCAATCGGAGTCGTAAACAGACAAGATCAAGTAAGTATTGCTCGAAAAGTATTTGCCACGCTATTGGATCAACCATTGTCTTGCCTCTGTCTCCAACATTTAATTGAAGAATAAAATGTGTCAAGTGTGGACAAATGGTCAAAACTTGTTGAATTTCTTGAAATGACCAATCATCTTTAATAGTCAATTTGAGATAATTGAGTTTGTTAATAGTAAAGTCAGGTACATCAATAGCGTTGTATTGACTTTCGAGACAAGTTTTGAGATGTCGAAGATTAGGCATGTAACGCACGAATGTTAACATTTGATTGATAGTGATACATTCGAAAGTGACATACTCGAGAGTCGGCAAATCAAATGAGAGTTCTTTCATGTTCCAGAAGCGTATTTCCTTTGGTATATGCAAATGACAAAGACAATTACGAGCAGCTGACATGATCATCGACCAGGCTTCTTGATTTGTTTGAGATTTAATATTATACGAGTTAATTCTTGTTATCATAATGGACTCCATTTGATGTAGACATCATCGATAAATCAGTATATGCCGGATAAGCTTGAATAATCTTGTCGAGACGTTGCTGTTGTCTGAAGAACGCCTTGAATAGATCAGCAAATGATAGATAGTCGAATATTTCAAACAGCAAGTCTGTGCTCAGATCGTCAAAAAGAGTCGTTGTCATTGAAAGGACTGATAGGCAGTGTAGACGAACAGGCGAAATAGATAACAAAAAAAAATGATATGATGCAAGTAAATAACAACGTTCGCAGTTTCAACACTTAAATACAAGCGACCGTTTTCTTTATCCTTGAACATTTCGTCGAAAAGAAAATGTGTCATTTCCTCGATTACATCAAACCAAACCTTGTTTGTCTTGAAATATTTCTTGAAGCTTGTGTAACGCTCAAAGAAAATAAAAGAGAAAAAAAAACCAGGACGATTTTCTCTGCGAGAAACTTTCTTTATAAGAAAGCAAAGAGATATTAATACATAGTTCTAAATATTTATGTTTTTTTAAACCCGACTAGGACAATACATGTCAATGACTTCGTTTTTATCGACCACACTCGATTGATAATACGCATTGTTTCTTCTCGAAAATTCAATCATGAATATACTCGAGAAGAAATTGGCTAGTGTCTTATTCGAAATCGAAATTGAAGTCGCTGATACGAATATAACAAGAATCTAAAGACATTTTGCCGACATCATACAACAAAGTGATATGCCTGACAAAAAGGAGGAGTTGTTTGTATCAGACAGTATTTTTCGTACAAAAGAAGTTGTGAACCAGGACTACACTTCATTTACAATCCTTCGAATGATTCTATGCAGTTCAAACAAGGGTGTAGATATCATCTTATTTCTATAGAGACACCCATCCTAATATGAAATCACCATTGTTTTCAATGAATTAAAACTGTGATTTTTCGTACTTCACAAGGACGAATGCCAAGTCTCACGGGAGAATTCTCCATTCTTTCTAATGTTTGTAAACAAAGGCTTGTAAGTTTGGATGTTTTGCTTCATCAAATTCATCTTTATCAGCTTCCATACATTCTGTTTGAGGTTCAAGTTGGAGAGTATTATTGGTCAGTCATTTTTTTCCGATCCATTATCTGACCTTCATGTATTTGCAAACTTCAATGTGTATTTAGGGATCGTTATTTTTCAGTTTCCTATTACTTTGTTCGTGCTCAAGCTGATCTTAGGGTGTTAATATGAAGCTATACTTATAAAGATTGTAAACCAATTTGCCATCGATCTTCTTTTTAAAGCAGAAGATACAACAAGAGCTACTACTTGAGAATAGACTCATAGTCCCATTTCATAGTCTTTTATGCGTGGATCCATTGAGACTGATCATATAGATGTTTTCCTGACAAAAGTGGCTTAGAAACTGGTACACTCTGTCTCAAGTAGTGGCACCAAATAACCTTGAACGTTTCAGTTCGCTAAAATCGGTCGACTCGTTTCATTGATTGAGTTTACCATGCATGGTGCTTTTAGCACAAATCACCTTTTTTTTGGCAAAGATCTTTCAGTATCCGGTCACAAAAGCAAAAATGATTTCATACAGTTGAATCCCATACTAAACTCTACAGTAATAACCACCCATTCTATGTATTATATATGTCACAGTTGACATGGGAATTCAGTTGAGTTTGGAATGCATGTAAATAGTATGAGTCACACGATAATTAATGTTTGTGTACTATTGTATTCAACTGTTGTAATTTTAGCGATTCTAAATGATTCGTCGAACTTCTATGATCTATTTGGAATTATTTTAAAATATTTACATATAGAAAGTTTTCATTTTTAACCATTCTTATTTAGTGAATATTAGAATTTTATGAATTTTATTCATCTCCTTATAATTAATCGATTGATGTTCGTTACTATGGAACATTCAATCAAGAAACACATTCTATATCTGTTTGTTTTTAATTACATTAATTGTTTTTTCATGTGAATCTCTTACAAAAAAAAATTATTCTATAAAAACAAATAGCTCGAATACTCTCGATTTCGTTTCAACCAATCGTTCAATGTCTCCATGTCCCGCTGCTCGAAAAAAGATCTATTCTAAAGAAACAAATAACTCAAATGCTCTCAATTTCGTTTCAACCAATGATTCAATGTCCCCATGTCCCATAGCTCGAAAAAAGTGTCTATTCTATAGAAACGAATAGCTCAAGTACTCTCGATTTCGTTTCAACCAATAATTCAATGTCTCCATGTCCCGCAGCTCGAAAAACATCTATTCTATAGAAACGAATAGCTCAAGTACTCTCGATTTCGTTTCAACCAATGATTCAATGTCCTCATGTCCCGCAGCTCGAAAAACATTTATTCTATAGAAAGAAATAGCTCAAGTACTCTCGATTTTGTTTCAACCAATCGTTCAACATCCCCATGTCCCGAGCATCTATATAGAAACTACAACATAAGGAAAATGATGAGTAAGATTTACTTTTAGAAGGAAACAATAAATAGAATGACTAATGACTTTTCATCAACAAAATAACAGTACGAAGATACTTTTTATTGTCCGAGAAGTAATAGTAAATATAAATTTGACAAGAAACAAACAAGTTTTCTTGAATACGTGCTAGAAAAATTTTTAAACAAACAAACTGAACTAAGTAATTCCAATCTCAACTAGATTCCAAACTCAACTGCAACATATATGTGTTTATATTCTTTCTTTCCATTTCTTTATAAACGGAAACAATTTTACCATGAATTAGAACAATCGTTTACTGCTGGTCCGACAGCGCGAGTTTCATCTACAGGAAATGCGCAAAATGGTGAGAGCACTTGCACAGTACGCCATATTAGAGGCAATGCTACTCGTTACTATTGGAGCATTGTGATGCTATATACTATTCACGTAGAGAAAGAGAAAGAAACGATGTAACGGGACGCATTGATGTGTGATTCATTTGCTTTGATGAGCTTTTGCGCAGCTCATTGGTAACGAGAACATTTGATTTTGAAAATTTCTAACTGACTCAGTCATGCTCAAACGTTTAGCATCACTTCTACGCAATTATCGACAGAACGTATCAGAAATCGGTAAGTTGCTTCAAAAAATCTACTTAATAGTATCGAATATGAAAACTAGTCGAGAAGTAATAAGCAAAAATAGTGAGTCATCTTAGACATCTTGACGAAAAATGAATCAATTTTCGACTGCAGGTTAAAATTGTAGAGGAGAAAAAACACACACAACTTGTTCGAAACTATTAATCGTGAAAAACTAGTTCAAAAATTGCATTTTTAATCAAATCACTTTTATTATTTTATTTGTTGAAATATTATAATGAATGGTTATTTCTTGTATTTATTTATACTGATAAAGGAATAATCGAGCGTGATCAGTTTTTACGAGATATGCGTATTCATATCGTTCGAACCAATAGAAAATCGGCGATTAACCGAAAAATATTCTGATAAACACAGTCAACCGACAATTCTTTCTCGGAACCACTACACTGTCAAATCTGCTATTGAATCAAATCTAAATAAAAAAAGCAACAGTTTTACTTTTTTTTTTTATAAATCTGTACTGACGTTTAAATCAGCTGTTGAATTTAATCTAAATTAAAAAAAATAATTCTTTTCTTTCAAAAATAACTTACCAAAAAAAATCGTCAATTAGGATTTCGACCATCGATTAACCACGATTAACTGGTAGTTTTTACGAAAAAAAGACGACACGGATAGCCTTCTCAAAAATAAATTTACCAAAATTCAGTAGTTTCCAAAAGCATGAATCATTGCCAGCAACAGTTTTTTTCTACACTTTGAATTCTCTCCAGTTATCACTTCCTCGGATGCTTTTTCACACATTTGTCCATTTGTTTCTTCCTTTACACGCTACGCTATAATGTAATCCAATCAAATAGAACTAAGAATAATCAATTCCTAATTGATTATGAAACTTCTGCGATTAATTACTTTCTATATATTATAACGACACGCTTTTGTCGAGTACTTTTGGTTAGAATAGCTCAACAATCATGTGAGCGAAACAAAATCCTATTTGAAGTAACTATTAGAAGGAGCTGTACAGTAGTACACGAACACATTCCCCAGCACATTTTCACAAGCATCGGTCGTTTCGAACGAATCTTTCTTCATTCATTCTTTTTCTCTATAGACCATCAACTCTCTAGTACCGATAGCGAGGATGACGATGAAATAGGAAGCTCAACAACTATCGAAGAAACTCGACGGTCTCCACCTATAATCACTTGGAAACTTGTGCAACCAGTAAGTCAAATACAACATGCGTTATCGGACTCCCCATTTGCCAATCTTCCAATTGAAATTCTCATTCAAATATTTCGATTGCTCTCTGTTCATGATTTGGGAAACATTTCATTGGTTTGCTGTTATTTCAAAGTAATCGCTGACCAAGATGACATTTGGAGATCGAAATGCAATCGTAAGTAACAATTGTTTTGCTTTTATTTCTCAATATGCGTTTAACTATAGCATTGAACGAAATACAGTCGAAATCTTTCAAACAAATCTACATGAATTGGATCTATGGGAAATATTTGCGTAGTCGAGAATTGAAAAAATTGAATGACGAATACAGAGAACCAAAGAGACATATTTCTCACCTACTTAATACATGCCGTTGTTCATCTGAATATTTTTTTCGAGCAAAGGACAAAGCCCACGTCTTGTCCATCCCTGGCTTTGTTCAACATCCTAATTCTTCATTGGATATGTAAGTTCAAATTTCTCTTTTCCATATAGAATACTAGTCCTTTACTTCTCAATTGATAGGACTATTGAATTATCCGTAGATATAGATAGAACAGTTATCGCACTGATTGCGTTATTAGAAAAGACATCTGGATTAATAACTAATTGGTGGCGACCAACAATCGTCGAACAAATGATCATGAGATATTATCGATTCATGAAACTGAAAGCTTCATATCCTAACGAACGTCTTGTTCCAACATTGGACATTGAAATTGTTTGGCAGACTCATTTGTTACGTCCAGAAATGTATCGAGGCGATTGTCTTCGATTATTTCATCGTGTCATCGATCATTCGTTGTTAATAGATAATATCGAAGAAAATCTCAAAGAACAAGCTTTTGTCAACACTTGTCGATTGTATGAAGAACGTTTCGGAGAACCATATTGTCCTTTACCAGTGAACAAAGAAGAAGATGAAGCTCGATCGACATATCGATATTCATTATTAAATTATATTGAGTGTCCTATTCCAGCGTATTCCTATTGGGATGACACATGGTTCAGATTTACAGATGAACTACCAAACAATTACGAAAATCCATTTTCATTCGTCGTCGAAGATATTATTCTCGATAGCCATTGGTTTGAATTGTACCGTACTGATATGTATGGAGTGGGTTTGAAAATTATAGCATATAATCCTCAAGAACAACAGATTGCTTTTCGCTCGGCAATGAAAAAACTGAGAAAATCCTATGAACGATTTTTATACATCGCAGCTAAATATTCAACAATGAATGGATATGATTTTATACATCCAACATATGCCGTAAGAATATACAAATCTCATTTGAAAAGACTAGTTTTAATTGATTTTCATTTTACAGATCGATATTGCATGGCATTCTCATATGCAAGAACCATTGAAATATGCAGACGATTGTAATCGTCTCATTGGATTTGTCATGAACCATGTTCCCTGGTTATCGACTAAGACAACAGATCAAATTATAGAATCATATGAGAAGATAAATGAAATTTGGAAAACAGAATTCGATCGGGACATGAAAACAGATCATCTTGGATGAATTACAAAGGACAATTCTGATTATAATTTAACAAAACTTCTTCTTCAGGAGGACAATCGAAGGGTACTGCACAAGTACAACTTTTCGTATTCGTACTCGTATTTTTTCTACCTATATCTTACCCATACTCATTTTTACAATTCACTATTTTGTATTTAACATGCTCAAGTAAAAACGAAATAAAAATATCTATCCTACCAATCAGCAGCAGCACCTCTTTGTTTATCATAAAATCTATATTCACCACTGTCTATTTTCTTTTAATTAATCCTTTCAAGTCCATCGTACTTTCTAAAGTACGGATTTTTTCTCGAATCTCTTGATTTTTGAATAACTCGCGAATGGAAAAAGATATCGACATGCGGTTTTCTCTATTATATAGAAAAGACGTCAGTACATGCATCTATATAAGAGTTATAACATTAATTAGATCACTGATATAGGAAGCCTAATAGATTTTTGGAACACTACCCGTATTCTGAAAAGGAAGAAGGTGAATAATGCTCTTTTGAGGTACCAAAAATATTTCGGTTTTTCGTGTCGAAATCAAGTTAACACTTTCAGGACCGGCTTATTTTGAGCAGTGACAATAAGAAAAAAGAAGATGCCGATCATAACACGAACGTGTAAAAAGAGCAGCCTATAAGTAACGGAATGTAGAGGCTAGGTGAGGCTGAAGTTTCGCCTGAATTTGACGCGTGTAGGCTTAGCCACATCTAAATTATGAATTTGATACTTATTCGCATGAAGGTTTAGCTTTATTCTATCAGAAGAATATTATTTCAGAGCAAAGATTCAAACTTCTAATATGTTTATTTATATATGATGATTATAAGCGACGAAACGAGTAGATTTGAAAAACTTGAGCCTCATCTGAATTAGGCCCATAACCAATGCAACGCATAGACTTAAAAGACTTGAGCCTCATATGGTTTTGAAACACTTCGCCGCTCTGAAGCAATCGCAACATTTACTTCGACGGGACGCCAAAAAAAATTCGAATTCTTACTCGTCAGATCACGTGAAATTTCATAGACGTTTTAAACCGTTACCGGTCCCGAAAAGGTTAATGAGAATAATATATCAGCTGAATGATTAAAATTCCTTGCAATTATATCAAGAATTTAATATATATCTTTTATCTATTCATACAATAAGAATAGAATGTTGTAATATATATAGTAGGATATATAATTTATCTAAAACTAAAAAGAACATATTAAATATCATGTTAATCAGTTATTTTTGTTTAAGAGGTATTTCATATAAGCAATGATTTATTATCATAGGAAAATGTTCAACCAAGTTTAAGTATAGAACTAAATTTTTAATCTTAATCGAGATCAAACGATTTTTCATTGAAATTTTTTAAAATTTTGATAAAAAGAAAAGTCAACTTTTAAATATATTGATGAGAGATCCCTCAATTTTTTTAAAATCCTAAGTTAACGGCTGTTGAACAGTGCAAGCGAAAGTTAGAGAACGTTAGTCTTAACAGTCTAGCAATAAGAAAACCGTTTTCAAAATAGTCCATGAATTTAAATTAATTTATAACTTATCAACAGATGGCCTCTTCATCTGAATATATGATAAAATGGAGGTAACAGCTGCTTTAATAAAGGCACTTCACAATGCATACTCGAACTATGGCGTATACTATCTAGATAAAATAAAACTATTCATAAAAAAAAATAACGCTCGTTTGTGAACTCGCTCAGCTCTTTCTCGTAGAAGTGCTATTTCTGAATTCTTCCCAAATTATTCACTTATCTATACTACTAATAGTAACTAGTTCCAGATTGAAATTCTTGTTTTTGAATTTCTTTTAATGAAATTTTTTCCTAAACTATGATGACATTAGTATGTTTTACTACTCCTTAGCATTACTAGCTTATTAGCGCAAACTTATCATAGATTCTCAGTTTTTATTTGAAAAATCTTTGATCAAGTTTTCCAGAAAAAACACTAATAATAATAGTATACTTAGAAAAAAAATCAAAACAGACTTCGGATTCAGATTCCTGACCTTCAATTTCCCCTTTTCGAGTGTTGTAAAAAATATTAATGATTAATAATTAAAACAGACACCCAGATTTTGGTTCTCTACCCTCCGTCGCCTTCGCTCAAGTTTTGTCGAAAGTATAAATAATTAATAATTAAGTAATAATATGTTAATAATTAAAACCGACCTCCGATTCAGATTGTTCACTCTCGATTACCTTTGATCAAGTTTTTTGAAAAAAATGAATAGTTAACAATCAGTTAATTATTAATTAATTAAAACTGACCTCGGATCCGAATTCTTCACCCTCGATTACCCTTCGGTCAAGTTTTATAGAAAATAATCCCTTTTATTTTCAGCTTATTCTTGGACCAATCACTGAAGTGCGGACATACAAGCAAGCAAACAATTTATTCTTGCTAGATTCTTCTTTACAAGGAAGAGAACAACTCAATAACCAATTACATTGATGCAAATTACTAAAGTAAGTGTTCGCCATATACTGAATCTTTATTTCAACAATCAAGAATTAAATTAGCGAAATTTTCTTGAATATTGCTTTATATTATTTAATATATGTTGCCATTTTTTTAATACAGTTTTCTCGACTTGTTTATTATATATCTTCATTTTTTCACTAATCATTCGAAAATCTGTCGACATTAATTTTTCAATAAGATCATCAATCGATTCATAATATATAATATGTGGCCATTGATAGAAATCTGAGAAATTCAACCAATATCGAATTGATATACGATCCAAATCATTATTTGGATCAGGTACATTTGTTAAAACACCTTTAATACGAGAACTATTCGATCTTATTCCATGTAACGTTTGATCCCAAGTTTTTTCATTGACTACACCATATTCATAATGCCATGTAGTCAAAAGATCAAGTGATGGAGCTAGAAGTGGAATATTCATTCGATATTGTTCAAAGAAACTCATTATGGAAACTTGATAAGGTATATGAATAATAGCTGGATGATTAGTCAAATCAGAATATTTATAATTACGATAGATACTTCTAATCGATACAATTTTAATTTTATGTTTTTGATATTGATTTAAAGATTTTTTAAGTAATTTTTTAAATAATGCATCAAAATATAATAGATGAATAGGAGCAAGTAAAAATTCTTCTCGTGTTGGATTATAATCACTATTTGTATAATTACAAAAGCTAGGTAAAAGTGTAACATTTATACCAGTGAAATAGCGAATATATTCTGCATCATATAAATTATTTGCGGCTATAATATTTTTTGGATTTTGAGAAATTTTTTTCAAATTTTCATTTAATTTGTTCCATTGTTGAGGTTCAAATCTTGAAAGTTCATAACGTGTTGATGAAATAATAATAATACTTCGATTAAATGGCATATATAATTCACACATAGATACAGGATGAAAACAAACAAATGCATCAACTACATTCATTTCAATTTGATTTTTATAAAATTCATAAAATTTAGAATAGATTTCATTTGAATAATCCATTCCATTGTGTCTGGTCAATATACGAAGAGGAGAAAAACATGTTCTTGTTTGTCCACAACTATATGACAGACTTTTATCAAAAAATCGAACACCCAAAGGTGAAAGAATATTTTTTAAATCATGAATAGGACTAAAATACAAAAACAAATGGATTCAATTAAAATTTTCCAATATAATTCATATACCTTATGTGATAATCACTACTCCATATAGTGATAGCATTTTCGTAAGGTTCTAAATTGAGTGTTTTTATATACAATTGATAAGTTAATTCTTTGCGAAATATTACAACAGAAGCAGTAATAGTTAGAAGTATTGATACAAAAGTAGAATGTTGTCGAATAAAGAAGACGTAGCGCTGTAATTTACGACAACAAGTCATTTTTTTAACCGATTAAACAATGAATCAAGGTAATTTTCTTTTTCTAAAAGAAAAAAAGCTTGTTAGCGCAGCTCCTTCGGAGCTGAAATATGGAACTCACGTATATCGTTCAACCTTGTTATCCTAATACATTATCCGTAAACCGAAAAAATTCTGGTCGACTGTAGTTGTTTTCACTAATAATCGATAATAAGAGCGAGAATTTATTATTTATTTCTACATTTATTTCTATATTTAAAACAGAATTTTTTTTCTACGGGTGCCCTACTTTTTGTTTGCATTGTTGCTATTTGCTCATTATTTTTTATTTTTTGATTCGCGTTTTTTTAATTTGATATTCTTATTATTATAATCATTGAATCGGCAAATAAGTCTATTTTACATATCCTTGATATCTACAGCACATATTATGCATTATTATATATATGTTAACCAACTCACAAACAATGATGTTGACTAATCTTCAAAATTATAACTTGAGCAATTTTTCAAATTCTCGAAAATCTGATACGTTTTATTCTCCATCGCTAAAGTCTGTAATGAGGGGAGGGGGAGGGGGGGAGCTGCCAAACCTCGAACTTAAAACTTACACTCACTATTTTCTTCGAAAATATATGTGAGTTCCACAAAATGTCCATAACTACTTATATAGTTAATAATAAGGTATTAAAGATCCGCAAGTCACGGTATCACATCATTCTGTCCTGTTCTACTGTAAGGCGGTGGTTGGACACTGCGAGATTTGGCCGTTTTTATGCCTACTGGCAACACTCTTCTCTTTTATTTTAGAACATCGCTAAATTTATAGAAAGAAATTATTGTTATTAGGTTTTTGTATTTTGCAATAATCGATATGTATTTCATTTACTTTATTTGGTATCATATAAATAAAAGAATGATCATGACGTATGTTCATGATGAAAGGTACAGAACTGTTATGCGTTCCTAAGCCACCTTATTGAGTCGTATTCGAACATATTTTGATATTTCATATAGCTCATTATTACGATTGTATGTCTTCATGAACGTACACGAAGCAAGAGGGTTATATGCGGAGTAATATGAAACAAAATCGTGATAATATACTAACTTCATATACGAAGACGATAAGCTAGCGTATTTATCTATATTCAACACGCAAATATACGATCGTCATATTGAACTATGTGTAAGCTGCCGTATCACTCGAAGTATGACTGTTTACGACGATACATACACCCAAAATTGGCTAATTATATAGTATGATGCGTTGAAAATATAGAAGAAAGTCTTCTTCTGATGAACGAATAAAAAATGATCTGATGCAGCATATGCAATGAATACAAAGCTGGTAGAACGCTAAATAACTTGTGATTATCTTAGTGATTATTAGGGATAGCACTGTAGATTTTGTTTATCTTTCAGAAAGGAAAGAAAAGTTGAAATACTTTAATGTTTAACTATTTCGAGAATTTGTGTCACCCAGTGTAAATGAATATAACAGCTAATTTAGATAACACGAATATTAATAGCTCTCTTTCTTCATTTATATTTTATTACTCCAAATTATCTGTCTTTTACTTGTATTTTTAATCTGTGTTCAAATCATTCTTAAATCGTTTATCGTCTTCTCGTTGTAATTCTTCTTTGGCACCCAGATCGTTGATTTCGACCCAGAAAGCCGTCGTACCGGGAAAGGGTAATTTTCTCGCATTCTCCAGTGCGTAAGTGAAGCTGCACTTTTGAAAGTTCCGTGAGTTTAGAACTCACGGAATCCAGACGTATCTCAATACCGAAAAATATTTGTAACAAGGATTCAAACATTCGTAATCATTTAAGTTTTACTTTATCTGGATGTCTTTCATCGGTAGCGTACAAAATAAAAAAAGAAAGAGATTTTATTTAAACTTACTTTTTCACATATTTCTACTTTATCATAGTCTCAATCTTCCATTGATACATATATATATATATAAAGTAACGCTCGTCTACGTGACTGGGTTGACCCTCGACTGAATAATCAGCTGTTTCAGTATCGGATACTGTTTCACAGTCCTCAACACATCTAGTATAGAAAGTTTGAAAACGGCGCATATGAATGCAAATATTGACATTCGTATCAATGTCCTCATGTACAATGACATGCGTGTGTCTGTGATATGTTTGTCATATAAATTCATTGAACGGAATTGAGACGCATTCAATGGTATACAACGCAAATCTAAATGAATAACACTAAGGCAGCAGTATCCATTTCATATTAAAAAAAATACGAAAAAAATCAGATTAAAATTGATTACAATTTGATTAAAAATCGATTATAATCATATCTCTTTAGTCGACGATGAATCGGTTAGGAAGCAATTTATCATCGATTAAAAACCGATTATAATTAGCCATAATCGATTATAACAGCAGAAGCAGTTATTCTACTATATTACTCGATTAAAATATATTAATGTTGTTTTTAATCGATTTCTAATCGATTAATAACCAGTTACAGATGTATGATTATAATCGATTATCAATTGATTCAGAATCGATTAAAATTCACAGCAATTCTTACAAAATCCACGTATGTTGTTGCTACATTGTAATGGCTATACCCTACGCCTATACCGTATAACTACATTCTTACAGCTGTATTTATGAGACTATATTCTCATGCCTATGTCCGTATGACTATACCCGTATATCTATATCGTTAAGGCTATACTCGTATGGCTGTATCCTTATATCTTTACAGTTATATCTTTAACCTTGTTAGGTGGAGCTAATTCAAAATTAAAGCGGTAATTTATTTTTGTTGTCTTTTTTTATGTGAATAGAACTCATCGAATTACATAGAAAAAATACTACGTTACGCGTTTGAAAGTTGGTTTTCGCCGAAGAAAATTCCAAATAATTAAGAAGAGCTCATTTTTGGACATTTTGATCATCCAATTTTTTTTTCAAATAAAATTCATGCGATATATAAAACCAGCATAAAAAGCTGAATCGAAATACATAGATTTTATTACAAAATATTTTATATCAAAATTCAATCCGAACGAGAGCTCCGATTAAATCACTACGAATAAGCCATAGAAGAAGGGATCAAATTTCGATGAAAAATATTTTATAATAAGATTTATGTTATTCGATTCAGCTTTTTATGCTGGTTTTAAATGTCACGTGAATTTTATTTGAAAGCAAAATTTTGATGATCACAATGTCCAAACATGAGCTCATTCTTAATCATCGTACTACTGATATAAAAAACATGATTTTTCAAGCAATTCATCATTATTATTTTAAACAGGCACGCACCTTTTTTTCATTGGTGTACTAACTGTAATCCATTAAAAGAAAGTTTTTCATCATTTATGCAAAAGTATTTGATAAGTTGGCAATGCATACAGAAGGCATTTTATCAGGGTTCTACTCATGTTTCGAGGGAACACCGTTCATTTTAGACCACAAGAACGGATAATCTAGTGTTTTATATACAGTTTTACATGTAGAATTACAAAAGATTACTTTTGGAATTCGACACATCAATAAACACGAGAATTCGGCATTATATTTAAAACTTCATTCATTTGGCATGTTTTTGAAAAACTCATTATTTTGAATTTTGTTCAGAGAAAACCAACTTTCAAATCTCTAACATGGTACTTTTCCTATGTAACTCGTTGAGTTCTCTACACATAAAACAAAAAAAGATAAATTTATGCTAAAATTTTGAACTTTCTCCAACTTGCCTATACCATTATGACTATATCCTTATATCTCTACACATATACTTATATTCTTGTACCTATACCTGTATGTCTATATCCTTACACCTATATCCTTAAACCTATATTCTTATACGCATACCCCTATGACTATGCCCTTAAGAGTGTATCATTATACCTATAACCTGATACTTATTCTCTTACGATCAAATCCCTGAAGTACTAAAAAGCTTTTGAGCTCAAAATCGGTGCATCCTATGTAACATATACAGCAGAAAAAACTTAAAAGAATATGAGTACAAGTTACACTCTAGCTGAGATATCGACAGTGTAGTATAACTGCGGGTGTGGGTGATTATGGGTGTTGTTGAAAACAATCGTACACCCACACTCACCCTCAAGATGGCAATCATGTCGCATTGACTTAAACTTGAATTTGGATATTAGGAATGTTTATGGCGTGGTTGTCGCTGTAAGTATGTATCTGAGTGGGTTGATCTTGTTCTACCTCACACCTACACCCCATATCCACACTGTGGGAAAACCTTAGATATAGTTTACACAAATGAGATAGTCGACCCTGTGATCCCGCTAACATATTTAAATATGTTACTCTCCCAATCATTACCAGATCACAAACTCATTCTATTTCATATCACTCAATGTTCAATACGCTGAAAACTTATTGTTTCCTTAAAAAACCTTACCCTGATTGTAAAATTATAGCGGCAAACTTCCAGCAATATAGTAAAGAGTTGGATGCCCGGACACCCATTCAGGCTCCCTAACTTTTCTAAAATATAGTCGTTATCTCGAAAAACTCTTTCTTTCACTGAAAAAGTCAAACTCAAAATTTTGAAAAACTGATTTTAGATTTCGATTCCCCGAACTCCACTTACTTTCGTCAACCTTTTTAACATATAAACCTTGATCTCATATTAGAAATCCTGCCCATCGATAAACTATAGTACAGTTTCGTCAAGTGGCGAAAGACTTAACATGACAATGGTGACTTCTGACTGTTTGCCTTTCTAGACAATGAAAAGGTCGCATATCAAATCGGATTTCAGATTAGGAATCCTGACCATCGATAACTCATAGTAAAGTTTCATCAAAACGCCTCTTGATTAACCTTAACTACACTTCAATATCCCGAATTACGGTTCATGATCTTTCGTTCTCTATCTTTGACATATGACCCTCCCTAAAGTCGAAGGAATAAAAATCCATGTATTTGAATATTCTACTCGAAAAGATTTAAATTAAAATTGTAAATATGCAGATAAATAACTAATATTCATA